TCATTACAGAGAATACATTCCTGCTCTAGCTTTTTTATTCTTTTCATAAAAATAGAAAATAGTGGGTGGAAGCAACTCTAATATATCAGAGCCAGGTAGCTTTATTATTCTTTTCATAAAAATAGAAAATAGTGTGCAAAAGCAACTCAAATATATCAGAGCCAGGTTTTGATCCTTAGACCTGTGAATTATGGGCCCACCATGCTTATGTTACATCAAACTGGTTGTTGTTTCAACTTATAGTTATTAATAAATATAACTTAACATAAATTTGCAGTGCAATGCTATGTCCATGTCATGCAGCCTTTTGTTATTGAGTTTGTGACTTAAAAACCACACTACTAGCCATAACAATGACAGGATGTCCTTAAGCCTATGGCATGTCTAAGTTCTAACTTGTAAGAGAAAGTAATTTATACCAACTCTGCAATAAATAGTGCATGATAGACAATATGAGAATAAATGTATATACTAAAATAATAAATATAGACACTAATACAATAAGTAAAAAACATATCAAATGAATATCAACTCGTAGCTTTTTTATTCTTTTCTTAAAAAATAGAAAACAGTGGGCAAAAGAAACTCTAATATTTCAGAGTTATTCTTTTCCTAAAAAATAGAAAATAATGGGCAAAAGCAACTCAAATATATCAGAGCCAGGTTTCGATCCTAGGACCTGTGGGTTATGGGCCCACCACGCTTCTGCTGCGCCACTCTGATTGTTGTTTAAATTCATAATTATTAATAAATATAACGTAATATAAATTTGCAATGCAATTCTATGTCCATGTCATGCAGCCTTTTCTTATTGAGTTTATGACTTAAAAAGCACACCTCTTTAAGCCTATATCATGTCTGAGTTCTAACTTGTAAGAGAAAATAATTTATACCAACTCTGCAATTAATAGTGCAGTATAGACAATATGAGAATAAATGTATATACTAAAAATAATAAATATAGGCACTAATACAATAAGTAAAAAGGATATCAAATAAATATCAACTCGTAGCTTTTTTATTCTTTTCTTAAAAAATAGAAAATAGTGGGCAGAAGCAACTCTAATATATCAGAGTTATGTTTTTCTTAAAAAATAGAGAATAGTGGGTAGAAGCAACTCCAATATATTAGAGCCAGGTTTTGATCATAGGACTTGTGGGTTATGGGCTCACCACGCTTCCGCTGCGCCACTCTGATTGTTGTTTAAACTTATAGTTATTAATAAGTATCACTTAATATAAATTTGCAATGCAATTCTATGCCGATGTCATGCCGCCTTTTCTTATTGAATTTGTGACTTAAAAAGCACACCATCTAGCCATAACAATGACAAGATGTCCTTAAGCTTGTATCATATCTGAGTTCTAACTTGTAAGAGAAAGTAATTTATACCAACTCTGCAATTAATAGTGCAGAGAATAAATGTATATACTAAAAATAATAAATATAGACAGTAATACAATAAGTAAAAACATATCAAATAAATATCAACTCGTAGCTTTTTTACTCTTTTCTTAAAAACTAGAAAATAGTGAGTAGAAGAAACTCAAATATATCAAAACAAAGTTTTGATCCTAGGAACTGTGGATTATGGGCCCACCATACTTCCGCTGCGCCACTCTGATTATTGCTTCAACTTAACATATATTTGCAGTGCAACTCTATATCCATGTCATGCAGCCTTTTCTTATTGAGTTTGTGACTTAAAAAGCGCCCCGTCTATCCATAACAATGACATTATGTCCTTAAGCCTATGTCATGTCTGAGTTCTAACTTGCAAGAGAAAGTATTTCATACCAACTCTGCAATTAATAGTGCATTATAGACAATATGAGAATAAATGTATATACTAAAAATAATCAATATAGACACTAATACAATACGTAAAATCCATAACAAATTTTCTCTTCCCTTAAAATTTGTTTTAATTTTATATATATTATATTAGTGTCTACATTTGTTGTTTTAATATCTACATTTATTGTATTAGTATTTATATTTCACGGTACAATTATAATTGATAATTGCAGAAGCCACTAATCCCAATTGTAGCAGTGTTAAACTACTAGTTGCTACTGCTACAATTTTTAGTGTCAAAACAATGATGTTTCTTTCAAGAAAGAAATATCAAAAGCAATAAAGAGAAGAGAGTGAAAGAGCACGACCTCAGGTCTTTCCCCAACTGATGGCTGTCTTTATCTTTTTTTCGTTTGAAACTATTTCTTGATTTATGTTCTTCTTGTTGATTCAAAAATTTTGGTACTGATTTTGAGAGGGTTTGGACTCAATTTGATGGTAAACTTTGGTAGTTGTCCCACCTTGGGTCTTTGCTTGCTCGATGGCTCTTGAGTCATTTTCGAATAGATTCAATCTCAGTTATGTATCCACCCAAAAAAAAAAAGAAAAACTCAAGTCTAATGAAGTATTTTGACAAAAAGCCCAATTGAAGGTGGAGGAAGGGGTGCTGCGTGGTGGCAGTGATGGTGCTTGGCCAACCATCAAGTTGAGGTACCTCTTTTGCAAACTAGATATATTTTAGGGACTGGATTGCAATTAATTTTTTGATTGTCAAAGTATCTGAGACATAATATTGATTTAACACAATCCGTACTATTCTTTAAAATTGATTAACAGTGCCCAATTCTTGAGTGACAAATTTGTTAAAAGTCTTTCTTCTTATAGATTTTCTTGAGTGCCCAATATTCTTTTTGACTAATCTTGTTTTTGAGATCGTTTGAAAGTATTTTGAGGTTATAAGGAGGTTAGTAAACAAAAGTAGATAAAAGCTTGAGAGAAGGAAGTAACAAATAGATGTTCGAAGGTATATCTTCTAAAGATGGTTTAATGAACTTAAAGGCTAAACTTGATCGTAGAACATTAAAAATTCAATTGGACACCATTACAAATATGCTCGAACAAAACTAGAATGTTAATGCTTCCAATTCATATCATGTGATTTGTGACTTATGTCGAGATTATCATGCTACTCATACATGTAGGCAAGCACAAAATATGCATTATTTTGATAAATTGGGGCATTGCAATTCTTGTTTTGATCAAAATAGTTCTAATTGGACTAATTCTTATACTTATGGTTGAGATAATCAATGTGCAGATAATGATTCTCTATGTTTTTATGATTATCAAGCCAAGTATGTCCAAATTGAATCAAAGCTATCTTGGGAGCTAGTTATAGAAAAATCTTCTAATCAATTTGATTTAGCTATAGAAAAACTAGCTAATGCAACTTTCGACCGTTTTGATAGGGTTAAGGAAAGCTTAGATGAACTAACTTCTCACTTTGGGCCAATTCAAGACCAATTGCATGTTTTGTGTGAAGTTATTTCTTCTGATAATATGCAAATTGACCCTAACATAAGGGTAAGGATGTTTCATATGAAAGTGGATACATTTTTGATGATAATGAATTTGATTGTTGTTTTAACGAGAAAATATCTGTTTCATATGATAATGCCTTTGGAATAAAGTTTGAACCTCAAAAGGTAATCATGAATGATTCATATATAATCTCTCTTGAGAATTGTGTTAAGAGTAGGTTCCAAAGTCATAGTCGCCCAAGGAAGGCAAGTGAATGTTCCTCTGGTAAGTTCTCAAGTGGTACACGTACAAGGTAATATCTATGAAATACTTAAGATAGGTAAACCACTTCCATCTCTCAAATGATTTGAATATATGGCTTTTGCCATCAAACCACCTTTTATTGATCCACCATGACCTAAGATAGTGGATTATTCTTTAACGAAACCTCCTTAAAAAATGAGGTGAAATAGCCAAGCTAATAACTATAAATGAGGTAATAGTCAAGCTAATAACTATAAAGAAGTGCTTTTTGGGAGGTAACCCAATATATTAGTATTTTGTTTCAATTTAGTGTGATTTTAGGGTTTAATTAAGTAGTGATGTTATTTTGTTATTTTTGTTTTGTAGGTTTGAGAAATAGAAGAAAAGGTGGGCAAATGAAGTGAAAAAGGCAAACTTTGATCAAAGAAGTCAACCCCGCGATTTTGAGTAATTGTTGTTCTTGATTTGTTAAAGAGGGTTACAATGCATGTTTTGATCATTTTACATGTGCGTGCATTAATTATTTTGACAAAAGAATTATCTAAAATGCATTTTGAGAAATTGGAGTGAAGTGTGTAACTTTTGAAAGGTCAAAAGTTTTACAGAAAAATTGCAGATCAAAAAACGTGACCTCTGAAAACGTGGCATGAGCTCATGTTTTCATCAATTCACGTTTTGTCTTCTATAAATTTAAAACAGAAAATGTGGTCTATGGAAAATGTGATCTCCAGCTAATGTTTTATGCTCATGTATTCAAAACTCTGTTTTAAAGACACAAAATGCAGGCTACATTTCACTTCCTCCTTCCTTCCCAAGCCTACATTTTTCACATACACAAACACAAACGTCACAAATTGTGAGGACCCATAATTTTATTATTTCAAAATATTGTTAAATTGGTCATTTTAAAAATATTTCGTACTCGAGTTACCCAAAAAAAAAATACTAAAGTCCATGAATTTCTCGAAAATAAATTTTACCGATTGGTTCTTTACGCGCATATTATTTTAATGCCCAAATTTATTCAAGATGAAGTGCTTATCATGATTTTTTTATTGTTATATATATATATACTTGGATTATCATATTTTAGAGTTTTAGAATCGAATAAGTTGAATTTCCAAGTTCAAACGAGAAAACCCTTAAGTTTGACCTTTATACGCGCGCGTGCCGAAAAGGCCCCGACAGGCACATTAATTTGATTAATTGGAGATTTTAAGAACATGATATTAGACTACTAGTAATGTACTATTAATGTACTAGGGAAATTACCTCAGAGGTTTAGTGCACAAAAGTTGCAAACGAGCGCGAAAATTGGACACGCGAAGACCCTAAACGGACCTAGCATGAGTTGACACTTAGACTTAACCATTAAGTCACCAATTCTCTCCACTTTCATTACAAAATCTAATTTCACTCTCTCGCCTCTCTTCACTCTCTCTGTTTGGCCGAAAATAGGAAGAAGAAAAGGGAAGAAAAATCTAGCCAAAATCCTTACAAAATTACTTCAATCCACTTCCAGATTTCATCATCCATTAGAGGGCTTTGATCCTAGCTTGGAAGAGGGGGCTGTTCATCGGTTTTCTTGGAGGAATTTCGGTCAAGATTTCTGCCCTAAAGCTGTCCAACTAAGTTCTTGAGGTAACTCACTCACCCACACTTCAATCTTGCAAAATTATAGCTCAAATGGAGCAAAGGTAGCATGGGTTTGCAACCTATGGTAGAATTTGGGTTGATTGGTTGAGTAATTATGTTCTTGCAATTCCATGACATGCTCGAGGGTTTGAGGATGTTTATTGGTGGCTGATGTGATGAATTAACATGTTGTGGTTGTGATATTGTGCTGTTGCATGTATATAGAATGATTGATGGAATGAAGTTGGAAGAAAGTTAGAAATTTGGAAAAGGTACTGTCTGAAATTTCTGACTTGCTGCCCGACTTTCTTGTTTGCTGCTGCCCTGTAATTTCGAAATTTTCTGGTGTTAATTGAGCTTCCAAATTGGTGTAGATATGTTGTGCTATGCGTATTGTGGTTGTCTACCAAAAATCAACCCAAATGGTTGGTTAAATTTTGAGTTACAAGTAAAGAAGCAAAACTGGAACAAGCTCCAGAATTTTCTGACCAGCAACATTTGTGTAGCTATAACGTTTTGCTCATTGATCGAAATTGAGTACCGTTTGTGGCATTGAAAGTAGACTCTTAGAGCTTTAAAACGGTACCAAGCTCATTTTCTAGTTCGTCCCGAGCGATTCGTGGCGAGTTTTGAAAGTTGGCTGTCTGTTTATTACTGTTCATCCGAGACTGTCCAAAAATCCATTTTGTTGCTTGATTGATTTTGAACCGCTTATGTCTGGATTTTGGAAATGATTTCTTCTACATAAATATATCCTTGTGAACCTAGTTTCTAACACCAACAACCGTTTTCAATATCACTGAGAATCGAGTAAGATACGGCCTAATTAGCGAAGTGCATTAAATCTGGAAAATTTCTGGAAAGGCCACAGTCCAGGAATTTTAGCGAACTTCAACTTTTTATTTCTTGAGCTAGGAACATCGAATCGAGTTCTGTTTTTTTCATTTGAAACCTGGATTGGTACTTTACATATATCAAATTTCAAAGGCTGGTTTTGATTCTATGATTTTTAGCGAAATTCCAAAATTATTGGAAAAACTTGGACTGTTTTGACCTATCTTCAATGAATAGTAAACTTTCTTGGAGAAATTGACTTGTTTCTGATTTGATTCTTGGAAAGTGACCTTCTACAAAGTTGTTATCTTCGAATGAAGTTTTTGACGGTGTAAAATTTGCCATTTTTAGACTTTCCGAACTTCCGGACTGATATTTCCAAGAATGACTCGAAAAGTGAAAATTTCCAATTTGGACCTAAATGTTCTTTTAAGGGCCTAGGTTACATTTTTAGAACTCTTGAGCATTTCAAACCTATTTTCATGGTGAACTTGAGTTCACCTATCACTTGAGATCTCATTTGAAAGTCGGTTCTTATGAACTGAAATACTTTGGAAACTTGAATGTTGGAGTCAAAATTGACTATTTCTTTTCTTTACACGAATACTGTATGGCCTGGAATTTGAGATACAATGCATTATTGCATACTTTCAGGATCTCAAGAGGACTTCGAGGGAACTCCCGGCGAAGCGTCTTAGAGCTAATTTCTCAAACTTTGACTTTTGATACTTGGTGAGTATCAAGTGCATGTGAAGTATTTAAATGAAATGATTCTTGTACTTGCTAGTTAATGAGGCTAGGGCGTACTTTATCGCCCTTGTCCTCTCTTTCATGAAATTGCTTGCTTGATAAGTGATACGTGTTACATGTGAATGCAAATGAAAGTGTTTTTCGTGAGCATTGAGCGGCAGAATGTATCATGCCTTTTAGGGTAGGAGGTACCGCTCATCCCGTCTCAATGCTATGACCAAATCTTGTCGATTGGAGCTTTGTCTCATCGACCTAAAAGTGAATGGGGGGGACTCCCCAACCCATTGGCTAGCCTTGTAACTCGAGCCGGCAAGGCTTGGTCGAGAAACTTGGTGAACCTTGGGAAGTGTTATTGCTTGATCCAAATAAGGGGTCTTGCTAGGTATACTTGTTAAGTGATACCACCTACATGCTTGTTTGGTTACGGATCCAAGAGGGTGTCATGGTGGCTGGAGGTAGTAAGTGGAGTTCTACATGGATAACTGTGAAAGTTGATGGAGGGTCAACTACCTGAGCTTGGATCGCGCGTGGATTAGCTCCTGAGAGCTCCCGTATCCTTTTATTGTGATCAAATTCCCTACTTGCTTAATGTTTCGCAGTTACTTGTTACTTGAGTTATTGCTTCATATTGTGTCTTTGCTCGCATGCTTGCATGTTTTTCCCTTGGCCTCACTGAGCGTTAGCTCACCCCAATTTGTTTTCCTTAACAGGTTTGGAAGTGGAAGTTCTGAGGCTTAATTAGTGACCCCAAAAATAATTTTTTCCCACAGGGCTCGAGGCGCGCTTGTATTGAGTTATTAGTGCCTGAAGGGATATCTCATATATAATTTGAATTCGATTCACTTGATAATTATTTGATGTAATTATTTGAGAACTGAGGACTTTTGTCTTATTCGGGGAATGATACCCTTACTTGAGATTTGTAATGTATCTTATCTCGTTCTAAGTTTGAAAAATGTTATTTCGTTTATTCTTGAGGTTGTACCCTATGTTATTGGATGTGAGTGATGTATTTTATTTGAGAACTGTAGTGAGTCCCGGCGAGAGTTGGGCAGGCGGTCCGCCGAGCCCTTTGGTTCGCCTTAGGGGGAGATGGGGCTGTCACACAAATCTTCTCTTATACACCATTTTGTTGCATGAAATCATCATCCACTACCTTTTGACCTTCATAGAGCCTTTTTAATTGATTGAAATTCTCATAAAACATCTCAAAATCAGTTTTTAAGAGATTGAATGCTAGGATTCATAGTTTCTAATTCCTTCAATTGGTAATCAATTTGGATGATTTTCATAGGGCTTTTTGCATCATTTGCATCACCAAACATCACTCTACCAATTTGAGGTAATTTTTTAAACATAGCTTGGTAGATTGAAGTTTCTCATTTCTTTAATTTCTTAAGAATTTTTAAATAATGAATTGATGATGTTTGCTTATACTTAGGAGTTCCATTATGCTTATTTACCATCTCTAAGCATGTTTATATGATCAAATGTGAGAATGTGATGATCTTTGTGATGTTTAATTTTATGCACATTCCTATATTATGATAATTATGATCAATGAGGTAATTGGTCTAGAGAGGTTACTAAGCATAATTGGATGATTCAATTAGCCAAAATGTAACTTGTTTGTAAAGTTTACATGCATACAATCATTATATGGTGATATTTTGAGAATTTGAATTCATGAGCATTGGAAAGGCTAGTCTATACTAGTTTTGAAATGATGCATTGTTATGGTGTTATAATGAACTCATTATTATTTAATCTTTATATAGAGCATGATTGGATGATGAATTTTGAATACGTGAAGAATTTAGCAATTTGTATAAAATTTTAGGAGTTGAAATTGCATATGTGCATAGTATATTATCTATGTTTTGACTTTGCTCCTAATGGTTATGATATGGTTATCCTATAAATATCTAGAGGAGGATGTATGCATTATAATTGAAAAGCAAGGTATTGAAGGTGAAAGGACAAAATGTATGAAGTGTTTCATTGTATTTTGAGAAATTTCTTGTCAATTTTCTATGGGTACATTACCAAGACAAAGGCGTAGAGTTACGGATCACTGTTTTATGTTTATTAATGCCTTTGTTATTACCTTTCCATTTCTTGAACCATAGTAGTTTGTTTATCATTTTCACTTCTTAAGTTTCTATACTAATGGTTACAAATAGAACTCATGAAGTTTTCTTTTGTAAAATTGTGGCAAATGGATCATAAACTTCATGATGGATTGTGGAACTTCATAGTTGCGTACTTCAATCACATCAATAGGAGAATATTCCTTTTTTATCTTAGTTTTCCTTTTTACACATTGAGAACAATGTGTATTTTAAATGTGAGAGAGAGAAGTGAGATTACCTGCATTATATGTGATTGATTTTTTGGTTGAAAATATTGGACTTGTGCTTGGAAATGTTATTGTGCTTAGAAATTTTTCAAAATTGGGTTTGTTGGCAAAGAGTTTCATCCATTTATAAGGGAAAATTTCGCTAAAATTTTTTCAAAATCTTGTCCAAAATTACAAAATTGCCCTAAAATGTTTCAAATTTTTTCAATTTTATCCTAGAGCAACAAGTTTCATACCATTAGTAATTCAAATTCTTTCTACTTTTAAGATAAATATATGTGACTTGAAACCTTCATTTCTCATTTGACTTGGAAATTTCTATTATGCGATTAGGATTTTTACCTATTTAGGAAATTTTATCTTAAAAAGTGGAGAAAATTATGCCTAAATTTTGCATGTTTGATGAAATTTCTTCTCTTTACTTAATCTTACATAGTTAAGTGATAAATGTGGTCAATAATTATAGTACTCTTCTCATGATTATTCTTTTGTGAGAATAATGATTATCTTTATCTATCAAAAAAAAAAAGAGAAAAGAAGAGAAAAAAGAGAATAAACGTTGTTCTACTCCAATGATTCTTATACTTAGTAATCGAGAGTTTTCATCTAAAAATATAGACTTTCGCATAAAACGGTACTTAAATTAAAAGTATATAAAGCAACTTGAAAATATGAAGTGTTGAGTAACCGGTGATCTTTATCTAAAATGTCGATCTTCGCATCAAAAGGTACTTTCACAACTTGAGTAAACATTAAGATATATTATATGAATAAATCCCCCTTAAGTTTGAAAAAATAAATGATCATGGGTTTAGAAAGCATTTTATTGACCATAGGGATTACTTGCTTGTAAAATTGGGAAAGATGAGGAATTGAATTGAATTAGTTACAATTGTGGCATAATTGGCTCTGCTTTACTTGATATTATGAGTACTTGAGATTAATTGAATGATTACATAATGGTTATTTATGCTGTTTTGAGAAATAAATTTGAATAGTTCACATATGTTTAATTTCAAATTTTTGGCTCATTGTTGGTCTGTAATTCTTAATTGCTAGAGGACAAGCAATAGTTCAAGTATTGGAAATTTGATAAGTTTGTATTTTAAGCAATTTAAGTGTGTTTTATTATTTAGTTTTGGTATGTTTTATTCACTTTTATAGCTAATTAACTAGGTTTCTAGTGAAGTTTACATTTTACAATTCAAAGTGAGAAATACTGCATTTCTATGGGTTAAAGTAGTGAAAACTTCATATTTTTGCAGGTTTCAATGATTCAATCATCAAATGGAATAAATTGAGAAGATAATTGGATGATTGTTGATGATTTGAAATGATTTAAAGAGAATATGAAGCGCCAACTACTCAAAAGAGGAAATGCAACTTAGTATAAAAGAAGGGGATTTTGATAGCTTTGACACTTGTTGGCATTTTGACTATATCTTGAATTACAAGTATCGGATTGAGGTAATTCTTGAGCCATTTTGAAGCTGACACATAACTTTACGTTTCTTATGAAGATATCAAAATCCATTTCATGAGTTTCTTAGTCAAAATGTCAAAATACATTCGGCCATTTCTTTTGTCAAAAGCTGAAATAGGGGAATGACTAGTCAAAGGTATTTTGGTCATTTATCAGTTTACAGAGCTCCAAATCATATAATTATTAAAGCCTTGGAAAGCCAACTCAAAGGGTTACAATTTCATGTTTTACAAACGAGCTATTTCAGCCACTATCATCTAGAAAATATCAGTGGAAGTTGGACAAAAACATAGCAAAATTGAAGACCGACCAGAAAGGAGAAAACCTGCAAAAGAGGCAAAACGTGGGGTAAACACTACTCCATTAATGTGCTTTTACTTAGAAACTATCTCCAAACTTTATGACTGCAGTTTAAAGAATTGACCTCCACCAAATTTCATCATTTGCTCTAATTTTTTTACCCATAATATGTTCAATAATCCACCGCCCTCCCTCTCCCCAAAAACTAAAACAATCCTGGATCCATCTATAACATGATCCGTTGTATTAGTAAATAACTTGATTGAGTATGTTTTGATACGCAATCTTTTGTCAAGTATGTATAACAAGCTATTCGAGTAAAAGTTTCTCAATTTCATGTTTTCCACTTTTATTTGTACAACTTTTTGTACGTTAAATATGTTATAGCAAATGATAATGCATGCATTGTAGTTGCTAAAAATACATGTACCTGTAAAACCCACAAGATCCTGCAAGGGCAGCATGTGTCTTGGTAAGCCAAGTGTCACATACTCCACATTATGTATTAGTTTTGAGTCCTTTGACATATGAAAAAGGATGACTTAGCATCAAAGAATACTAAGTTTGAGTCAGGATGGGCATCATTGTCAAGAAGATGCAACTTGAGAGTAAATTGATGATACAGTTTCCTAGTGATAATTTTTATAGAGATATCATTAGAGAATACATTCCTGCTCGTAGCTTTCTTTTTATCTTTTCTTAAAAAAAATTTGTGGTAGAAGCAACTCTAATAAATAAGAGACCGGTTTCGATCTTGGGACCTATGGGTTATGGGCCAACCACGCTTTTGCTACGCCACTCTGATCCTGGGACCTGTGGGTTATGGGCCAACCACACTTCTACTGCGCTACTATGATCCTGGGACCTGTGGTTATGGGCCAACCACGCTTCTGTTGTGCCACTCTGATTGTTGTTTCAATGTATAGTTATTAATAAATATAACTGAAATTAAATTTGCAGTGGAATTCTATGTCCATGTCATGCAGCCTTTTGTTATTGAGTTTGTAACTTAAAAGCACACTGTCTAGCATTTTCTAGCAATAGCAATGACAGGATGTCCTTAAACCTATGTCATGTCTAAGTTCCAACTTGTAAGAGACAGTAATTTATACCGACTCTGCAATTACCCGGGACAATTGCACAGTGCAATATAGACAATATGATAATAAATGTATATACTAAAATGATAAATATAGACACTAATACAATAAGTCAAAAACATATCAAATTTTCCCTCCCCTTAAAATTTGTTTTATTTCTATATTATTGTATTAGTTTCTACCTTTGTTGTTTTAATATCTACATTTATTGAATTAGTATTTATATTGCAAGGTACAATTATTATTAATAATTGTAGAAGCCACTAATCCAATTGTAGCAGTGTTAGACTACTAGTTGCCACTGCTACAATTTCTAGTGTCATATCGATTATGTTTTTTCAAGCGGAACAAATCCTCAACCCCCTTAAAAAGCCTCCTTACCAGGTCTCACCCCAAAATTTTGACATCTATAACGGCTCAACGTGATCTTACTAACCCAATCCTACCCAGAAACCTATGTAGCTATTCCTCTTGTCGAATGTTACCTTCCCTCTTGTCAGATGTTACCAAACCCAATCAGTGTATTTCAATACAATACAGTAGCAAACAACTTTGTCAATTAGATTAACAACTTAAATTTAGCTGTCAAAAAGATTGCAAATTATAAAAATGACAACTTACCAAGGATATAAATCAATTGAATTGACCTAAAATGGCAATATATAGGAATCTTAAGAAAAAATTCAAATGAAAAAATTGCTCTTGTAACACTAGAATAAATAAGTGGCAAAAGGATATCAATTTGATTATATTATCCATTGATGTTTACAAACTACTAAAATGACAAAAACATTCTATATATTTTATAAATTCCATAGACATGAAAATGGGCACATAAATAAAATAAGAGTATGTGATTGTTTTAAATTTTTCATAATACCTCGAAATTGGTCATGCTACTTGTTATCCTTCTTTGGAGATTCTTTAACAAACTACAATACATTAGTGAAATAAAAAAAAATTTTAGGGTTAGTAGAAATTTGCTGCTACGTGAAGTATTGTAATGATGATGTAATTGGTTGTGACGCAAGTTGTGTTCAGAAAGAATAGCGTCATATTAAGAAGAAATAGCTAAATATGTTTCTGGGTAGAATTAGGTTAATGAGATCACATGAGTTGCTATAGATGTCAAATTTTTATGGTAGGAACTAGTAAGGAGGCTTCTTAAGGGGGCTAAGAATGTATTCTGAAAGATGACAATACCCATGCTAGTGTGGCCGATCAAATTAAAAAATTGAGTAAAAAGGTAATTTCAAAAAAAATTTTAAAACCTGCCGAGATTAGCGGGTCACAGGTTCAACCGTCCGGATCAAACGGTTCAAAGGGAGTCATCTACAATTCCGATCCAATTGCTAAAACATAAGAGATACAATAATACTTCAAAAATTACAACATATAAACTAACAAATACAGAAAAATTGCTAATAACAGAAAAAATTACTGTTGTGGAGCAAGAAAATCATAGCACAAGAAACATAACTTTCGATAATTCAAACAAACTCAGTTCACAATATCACTATAAAATACTAAATTAAGGTAACATTCAAATTAAACATATAAGCAATAAAGCCACGGATGACAGACTTAAACAACAAACGTAAAATCATAAATCTTTATATATTTTTGCTTGGAATTATGAGATTTTATAATCGTACGAATATCCAAATTATAAGGCTAATGGTCAACTGCTTAAAACCATAGATTATGTTCCATTACAAACAACACCATGAAGCATTAACTAACCCATGGATTAGTGTCCCCCCCGCCGCTCTCCCCATCACGTTACCAGAGAATAGCCATATCTGGACCTCAAAATCATGTTTTAAATATTTGGTGTTGTAAATGCTTCCCTAATATTGTAAACATCGTCTTTTATTTATCCATTAAATAAATATGAATCCATACTAAGCTCTTCAAAAGGAAACAACAATCTAGGCATATTATTAACCATACGGAGGTAAAGTACTTACCTCCCAGCAAGTTAAAATCTAGATAAAGCTTTTTGAGCGATGTGAGGTTCCCAACCCTCTTTGATATGCCACCAGTCAAGTTGTTCAAGGATAAATCTAAAGTTTCAAGAGTCTTGAATTCCCAAACGAAGGAGGGAATGGAGCCAATTAACTGATTGGCTAAAAGATTTAGCTGATTCAGTGCTGGAAGATTGTAAAATTAGTTCACTGGAAAGCTTCCTGAGAGGCTGTTGCTAGACAAATCTATTACTCTCAAAGAGGACACATTGAAGATAGGCCATGGAATTCCTCCGGTCAGAAAGCTGCTTTGCATGTTTAGTATCTCCAAATTGGTGAGATTTCCAATTTCCTTTGAATTCCACCTGCATGTAATAGGAAAAATTAGTTTGTTCAATAAATATAACAAATCGACATAAATTGGCTATTTTTGAAAATTGCGAAACAGATTAGGATATTCACAATCTAGGAATTAAACATATGGATTTATATTTTGCTGGTGGTAAAAGCCCTTCATAATCTGCTTCATGGCCAATCTTATTCATGTGGAATCCTTAATTTTGTTATAGTTTACATTTTCTGATAGACATACATGTATATTAGCAAAAAATTTTCAGACAATTTCAAATTTTAATCTACCCATTAAGATGGAAAGAAAATATACTAAGATTACTTTGTAGAGTTTCATTAGCAAAATATAAGCAAGTGGATTTATGAAGAAAAAGTAAGGAAAACCAGATAATAGCTGGGGCAAATTGGTGCAACAAAAGTACATTAAGAAGCTAAGTGGCGTATTTTTCTACTTTCTGATCATCTGCTTTTGGAGTGTCACAACATTTAGGGTCCTTCTGCTCTCATTTCAATTGGGAAATTTCCACTTTTAGGTACAAAATTGTAATCCCAAGTTATCCTCGTATCAGCATCTTAACCATACACTTGCCTCCCCAAATTTTTTGGGATCCATTTCAGTCTAACAATACTACCTCCAATACTGTAGGAAATAATAATTGTTTAGACACTACATTTTAAATAGGGGTCTGGATAGCTTTCACTTAGAAAAAAATTTTGTCATTTGCATTACAAAAATGTTTTCTAATCAACTTTGTTTTACAATAATTTTTTTATTTCACATATATTATTTTACAAAAAATGTTATAATATTATTCTAAAAAAATTTTCTAACTAATTTCAATTCAAACACACTACATAATCAGAACCTTAAGATCTTGGAATGGAACTCAAACCACTTGTTTAGTTCTAGTACTAGTCAGTTGTTGCAATGCTAACCAAGTGTCTAATTTTATTGATGGGTCCACGTGAGATTCGTTCCTTGGTAGGAAAGACTTCAGTTGTTTATTTTATTGACTTAAGTGCATGCCGAGAAGCCCTTTGTTGAGAAATTCATAGGGAGATGTTACATGGTCAAGACGGATTTGGCTTCTTTCCAATAAATTTCCTCTCCATTCCTCAACAGGAAATGCATGACAAGCGTGTCATTTATCATAGAGGGGTATGATCACTTTTAATTTTGACCAATTCTAACCCTTAATAAATGATAAACACGAATTATGCATCTAATTGTGCATTATAGAAAATAGAGAAGGAATTCACTCAAGAAAAGTCAAATCCGGTCAAGATACCCTATGTGTTAAAGTCATGTGGTGTAGCATCATCATTATATCCCACCAAATGATATAGGGATAATTTCAGAAGCCTCCCTCGAGGTTTCTGACAATTTCACCTAATGCTCTTGAGATTTTCAATATTACACATACCTCTCTTGACCTTACAAAATGACCATAATAGCCTTAGCATATTAATATTTTTCATGCAATTAAACAATCCACTCCTAATCTTGTTCATATGAATGCATCACACAATTAGACATTTAATGGAAACAAAAATAAAACTCACTCGTGGAATAACCGATCATGTCTAAAACACAATCATAACATATTAAAAATTAATTTTAGCTTTGCTTGGAGGATTTAGAGATGAATAGAAGAAGATGTAAATTGGGTGGTTTAAAAAGGATAGGGCTGGTATTGATACTATAATATTTGAGGAATAGGATTTTATAGAAAATTTTTTGAGTTTAACAGTGCAAATTTTTTAAATTTCAATTGAGGTTTTAGAATTTAGGAACTGATGGTAATGACCATTGTGATAATGGTACTAATTTGAAATGTGGTAATATTAAAGGTTTAAAATAGCAGAGATAAGGGTTGAAAATGAGTTTGAAATTTTGTTCATGTTCCATAGTTTTCGAATAATTTTATAGGAAGGTAAAATAAATTCACAATTTCATGAGGGCATTTGGGTTATTCATTCAAAATTTTGACCATTAAATAGTTTTATATGTAATTTTTCAAACTTCAAGGGAACTAGGTGAATTGTTAAAAATCTCAAGGGTGGTTTCTGAAATAATCCCAATAATATAAAATGAATCCTGTATATACTCCATCAATTACCAAACAAGAAAGGCCTATCTTACTTTATTAATTAGGTTGACTGTGATTGATGCCAATGTATCACATGGCATTTTCACAACCATAGGTTCGGCCATGTAATTACTATTCCGTAGAAGAGGACTTGGCATGGTAGCAGAAAACCGTAAAAATCTAAAAATATTGTAAACGGAACAATGTCGAATTCGCAAATTTGTTCATGCCGCTTAAATATGAAAGCAAGTTCGTAGAGGAAATGGAGTTCATACCAGTAAAATTGTTTCCCCCAATAGATAAATCCTTGAGCTTGTCCAAGTATCCAAGTGTTCTTGGGATCCGGCCATTGAACTGATCGTTGGACAGTGACAAATGCTCAAGGTCTCTGCACTTATATAACTCAGATGGAATTGAACCTTGAAGCTGATTGACTGAAAGATTCAGTCCTTTGATCTGTTCCAATGGATGATTGCAGATGTGTATTGGAAGGCTACCTGACAAGCTATTCTCTGCAAAATCAATTTCTTCCAATGACATGTTGAAGATGCCAGATGGTATGGACCCGGTAAGCTGGTTACCTCTAATGTCCTCAATTGGAAAGATTTCCAATCCTTTTTGGAATATTTCCTTCCAATAAATTACAACCTAAATTTAGTTGCTTCAGCTTTGAGATATTTCCTACAGAAAGTGGGATCACACCAGAGAAGCTGTTGTTGTTGAGAAGAAGAAACTGAAGTTCTTGCAAGTTTCCAAACCATGAAGGGATTTCTCCACACAAGTTGTTGTATCCAACATTCATCAGTTTCAAACTTCTCAGATTAGCTAACTGATGAGGGTTGAAGCACTGAAATAGTTATGGCTGAAATCCAGTGAAGTCAAGAATGTGAGATTCCCTAAATGGGGAGGAATTATCCCTCTAAGGCTCCAATTAGAAAGATTCAAAGCTGCAACCCTTTGGTTCTTGAAAGCAGCAGGAAATCCCAGTCCAGTTGCAGACAAAGGTTGTGGAAGACCAATTGTTTAAGAAGCCAAAATGGTCTAAAGAAATATGGCTTTTGAATTCAAGAAGAGCAGATAGATCTGTGGTGAGATTTTGGGGTGGTATAATTGCTTGGTGAAGCATAAAATAATTTGCCATCAATAAAGAAGCAATGAGGAAATGAATTTTCCCCATATTGAGTAGGAAATAAAAACTTTGATGCAAATCCTTGCAAATAAAGGAACCTGAGAGCTAGCAATGGTTTTTTTGTATTTATTGTAGCTAGATGCCGATTCTACCCAAGTGTTTCTTTTTTCTTTTCTTTTCCATTTTTTTCCTTTCTTCGGGTTTTCAACAAGGAATTTAAAAGGGATAAGTGTAAACTCCTAATAGAATTGCATAAATATCACTTAATACTCCTATTATTTTACATCTATCACTATATATTTTCCTGCAATTTTATACAAGTATTAACTCTTGTTCAATTTAGTGCTAAGCAAGGACAATAGTGGGCATTTCAACTAACAACATTACATAGACCTTTTTTTTTTGTCAAAGTTTCACTTTACATAAAATCTCGGGGATAGTGATATGAATATTTTAAAAATCTCGTGCAGGTCATGTGGTATCACCAAAGTAGAAGAGTTTATGAGTAATTTACCTTATATTTTACATCGTTTGATGTATATACATTCTTTTAAATGCACATCATTTGATGTACATACATTCTTTTAAATGCATATACTAGTAAAAAAGAACATACACGAACTTTGAACTAAACTTGGATGACATTTTACGTTCTAGTGAAGGGGTAAACTGCATGTCTCCCCCTTAATTTTATATTGAAGAAATTATCATCTTGGAGTAATGTGTTGAAGCAATTTCAATATTAATTGCCTTATACTTAGACAAGAAAAAAGCATGGGTAATGCAGAAGGATTAATCTTTTATACACTGACAGTGTATATACCAATCACCATTTGATGCATAATAACTCATCTAAATTTAAATTTAAAATCCAAAGTTTACTCATATTTATACATCCAACAGTGATAGTGTATATACTGTCAGTATATATAAGATTTACTCAATGTAGAAACAAGAATGTGAGTGTAGGATTTTTTGTGCTGAATTTTGGCTATGCAAAACGGGCTAATAAGCTTATTTACAGTCACCGGGGTTTTATACTTATTTTGGTGGAGCAGAACTTACATAAGGGCAACACTCAATTATCTTTAACCGGCTGTTATGTACATAAAAAAATTCATAAAGGTGTCACATACATTTTAACCCTAAAAAGTAGCAATTTTTAAGTGAAATAACATTACAAGTAAGCATAGCTTCTAAATACATTATAAGTTATATTTGTCAATCTTGCAATTTAATACATTAAAATCCAGGGTAAAGTACAAATTTGGGAAGAAATGTGCATAATGAAACTTGAAATTCACAAAATGGACGAATTGTTAATCTACTATTTGAAGCAAACTCAAGTGGATAATAGTATCTAATAGAGCACCATATCAGGTGTTCAATAGCAAATATCCAACTCAAATTCTTGAAATACTTGAATTTGATTAACACATTTCACATACAACTACTTCCTTGCCCACATTCCTTGACAAAAAAAAGAGGACAGCCATTGACAAATTGCAAATTTTTTAATAATTGCTTTGATATTGGACTCGGGACATTTTAGCGTAAAAGGATGAAATTATGGTGCCCTTTCCACGAAACCGGTGTCTGCGAGGGAAAGCGTACAATTTCTGGTCCCTCGAGGCTCATAAGTGATAAAAGGGTTTCATTTATTGAAGGAAAACTCAAAGTCCACCATTTCATGCTAAGTAGTTTTCTGCAATTATGATTTGCCATTAACTGATTGGTCCAAGATGGAGACGTTTTGACACTTTCCACCACACACTTATTTTGTAAATAAATAACCAGTTTTGAGTGAACGTATGGGAAAAGCAACAATCCAGATGGGTTTTGGAATTTTACTTGATCTATGGCTACTGATGGTCCAAAAAGCTTTTATTGAAGCTATATTTTTCCTTGTTTTATTTTTCTGTTTATTTATTTTTTGAACAAGTAGTAAAAATTAGTAGCAAATAAAAAATTTCACATTTGTTCCCTAAATGCTTTAAAGCAAAGGTAACTAGTGAAATAAATATTGGGTCACCATTCATTGTTAATTGGTTTTTTTTTTTGAATGATTAGGTATTTCCTTAAATTTTTGGCTAAATTTCACTTTGGATTCTTAAACTATAAACTTATTCTTGCTTTAGTCTTTAAACTTTAATCTTGAACATTTTACCTTCTAAAGTATGAAAACTATGTTTTCAAACTCGGATCGAATATCAACTTGATCGAGTTCAGGAGTCAGGAGTCAATGGGTTCGATCGGGGTTGAACCGGATGACGTCATAAATAAAAATTATTTAAAAATTAAAATATTGTATGTAAAATACCTAAGAGCATGTTAATATTAATAAAAGTATATTCACATATATTTGATGTTTCAAATATATTTAATAAGAAAATAGAAAGAAATTAGAACGATCAAGTAGCAATTTATATTATTCAATGAATATTAATAAGTTTAGAAAAAAATTATGGATTTGATTGAAAAATAACACCAAACTTTAGGACAACATTTATAAAATATGAAATATTTGAGCTATATTAATAATTTTTAACAATCTAGGGGTCAAAACATAATATTGAAAATGCTTTGACCTTTTAAAAAAAAGCTTTGACACCAAATCGGTTCTTCTGGTCAAACCCAGTCAAATCCAGTTTTTGACCGAGTTTCTATCTCTCCGGTTTTTTAGGATAACTCAGACCGGACACTTGGTCTGTTCTCGATTTGACCGGTCGGACCAACCGGTCTGGTCCGAATTTAAAAAAATGGGTATTAAATCAACTTCAAATTTGGCCTTAATCTTCAATGTTTGACACTTTACTCTCTACATCACACTTTTAATTCTTAAACTTTGAGTATCACTCACCTATTATTCTGCTAGTATTGACAATTCCATAGGGTGTTGTACTTCATACTTTAGGAGGTAAATTGTCTAAATTGGAGTTTAAGGCCAAGTTATTCAATGTCATTATTATGTTTGTAGTAGCTTAAGATTGCAGCACAGTTCAGCGGCATAAATAGTACAGCACATCTAAATGCATGTGAAGACATTCTCTTATTTCAAAGAAGACATAAGAGTGCAAAGTAATAGCAGCATTGGTATCAAAGAAAGAACCCGGTGCCATATTTTACCTAGTACATATGTGTACTTCTCTCCTTGGGCTAACCAAAAATCATAAAAGGGTTTCTATGCTGTGTATAATATGGGTTTATTTGTTGTTGCATTGGATTTGGAGTTTCGGGTAACAATAGTTTGCTACACTCATAGATCACTTAGGTGGGTCGCGCTTGTAGTCGGAACAGTTAAGGAAGGAACCTGTTGACTAGTCAATAGCACAATGGTTCAGCTGATAAAATGCTCAAAAATTGACGAGTTTAGCCACCGTTTAACCAGTTTTGAAAACCGGACCGGACCGGCCGGTTCGACCGGTTGAACCGCGAACCGGCCATGGCTCCGGTCCGGTTCAATGCTAGGTTTGACTTTGTCAAGAAACCGGTCAAAAACCGGTCGGACCGCGAAAACCGCCGAACCGGATTTGAACCGGTTATTTCCGGTTTTTGAGTTTTCCACTTTTTTTTTTTTTTTAGTTTTGCAAAATGTAGTTATTAAGATTCGAACTCAAGACCTTTGTAATAGAAGACCAATGTAGTAACCATTGCACCATCACATCTTATTAGTTTTTTTTGATAACTTATTTATATAAAACAAATACTCATATTTCTTTTGTTCCATTTTTCTTACAAAATATCATCCTTTCATGGCTCTTTCTTTTTAATCTTCAACTCTTTCTCTCTCTCTCTCTCTCTCTCATCTTTTCTTTTGCCACTCATTTTTTAATCAAACCTCTTTATTTTTAATTTATTGATGTTTCTTCCATATATTTTAATTTTTTTTTGTCCATTAAATTTAAAAAGTTAAAAAAGAATTATTTTTCTTTAACCCAATTTATTTAATACCACAACCACTCACTTTTATCTCATTTTTTGTTTCTTATCAAATTTGCATTTCTATTTCAATTCTCTTGATTTTTTTCGAACTCCAAACTTCCTTTTTTAAATTGTAATTTAAATTCCAAAATGTAAATTAAAATTTAAGTTCACAATGTCTAAATTCTTATAGACGTGAATTTTGTATAATTTCAAATATTGTGATATTTTTGGATTGGATTTAAGATTTTTTTGATAGATATAATTGAAGTTGAGATGAAAATTATTTGTTTTAACTTATAATTTAAAAAATTTATTTTAAAATCCAGGTTATTCGAAAATAGTAACCTTTTCATCATATAAAGTATTAAATTATCCATTACATGTCTTATTTTATGCATATATATATTTATATAAATTATTTTTAAAAAAATTCATTGAACCGGGATTGAACCGGTCCGACCGGTTGAACCTCGACCCTTTCACTTCACCGGTTCAATTAACGGTCCGATTTTTAAAACATTGCGTTTAACTCGCAATTCAATAATCATGTTATTTAGTAATTTAAAATATTATTTCATTATATAATATGACCACCACATTCAATTCAACCGATGAACCTGCGGTTGAATAATTAAATTGCTGAAGAGTGGCCTAGTTGAAAGATGCCGACTCTGGGTTTAATAACCATACTTCCAATAGAAGACATCATAATACAAAAATTTATTAGCATTGGGATTAAAGAAACATCTAGTGTCATCCATTTTTTCAAACTTTAACTTATTTAACTAGTGGGACTTCAATATTTTCTAGTCTGGTCACAATGTTCGGGGTCAATTCTTAGTTTATGATGGAAAAAAAAAAAGAATTCTACAACAAGGGCGTTTTCTGGAGGGGTTTCTGTAAATGGGGGTCTTCGCATTTCCAAAATGCGAGCTCACTGAGCTCGCATTCTCAAAATGCGAGCTCAATTCGAGCTCGCATTCCGGAAATGCGAGCTCAGTGAGCTCCCACTACCCAGCGCCAAGACCCCATTTCAACTTCAGTATGTCAAATGTTGAGTAATCGGTGATTTCATCTAAAAATATCTACATTCGCATCAATTGTAAAAGGTAAAACACGCAAGATTTAATCGCTAGATATTTGATTTAATTTTTTTCTTTTCTTTTTC